AGTGGTGTATCGGACAGTGCGACGCAAGGGGTACCAACTGGGATGAACGGGGGACGACGAAGTTTGTCAGGCGTTCATACTTAGTGTTCCAGTCCTTGACAAGGAGACTGTTCATGTATCCTTAGTCAAAGCTGGCGGCATGCGACCCGATACGTGCGCTCACCTAGGCACTGCCACCAAGACTGTCTCCATGTATTCGGACTCTTCAAGGAAATACTCCTTGGTAACAATATCGGCGAGCGACTTGACCGAGAGGTTTCCTCTGTAATGATCGGTTATCCGTCAGGGCAGGGCAGTAAACCACAACGTGGGGATAACTTCACGTCTTCTTGCGCTGCATCTGCGTCAGTGACCCCTTGGCCAGGTTATAGTTCTGAAGCTTCGTCTTCATGACATTGTCAATGGAGGACATCTCCTACACTCACGACCGCTTATCAGCGATGAATCTGCCCATCAGCATGCAGGCGCATACCTTCACGAGAACGTCGAGCATCTCCCTCAGTGACCTCTGGGTGCCATACCGCCCTTCGTTCCATCTCCAGTCACCGAAGAGATAGCTATCGACTGGCTTCTCGTTCACTAGGATGTGCTGGCGCAGTTTCGCGGGATCGTTGTTCAAAAGGTTACGCAGCGTGTCGACTGTCTTAGCCACTGTCCCAGTAAACGATGCATCCTGCTTGGGCAGTTCCTCCGAAAGCGCAACCAACGAGTCTAGTGTCCCTGTCTTTCAATCAAACAAGTTTAGATCTCTGACACTGTAGGATATACATAATGCTCATGACCTTGAACGAAGGTATCGGCAGCAGCGCCACGGATGCGCCCTGTTTGGACGATGTACCAAGCTTTGAATGCAGTTCCTGAAGGGTGCCTTCAGCGTCCCCGTTCTGTGGGATGGCTACAAGCCATGTACTCTGGTCAGAGGGCATAATGTACAGGAGGATTTGCAGTCAGAGGTGGTTTGTCCAGAAAAGGCCCGTATGTCGCGGCTGGCAGCTGCCGCTCGCCCGAGATGCATGAAGTCACCACTGCGCGGGCGCCTACGCGCCCCATAACACGCCGAGCGCTATCGCAACGCATTCTCCAACGTACTCTACCCAGCCTCCAACCCACGATGCTTGCTCTCGCAGCGCGACGTTCTACATCTTTCCTGCCTCGCTTTCTTGCCGCCAGGGCGAAGTCAACCTTTGGGGACAACTGCCCACTCGTGATCACTCCCAGGCAGCTCAGTGATCTCGACCCTGGCAAGGTCTCCATCCTCGACACGAGTTGGCACATGCCCAACTCCCCGCGTAAAGCTCGCGAGGAGTTTCTCGAAAAGCACATTCCAAGGGCACAGTATCTGGACCTGGATGAGGTGGCCAGTGAACATGAGCTTGGACTAAAGCACATGATGCCGAGCCCGGAAAAGTTCTCCCAGGCGTGCGGTACGCACATCTCGACCCATGTTCTACTACAGTCTGGTTCACATCTTCCTGAGCAGAACAGTTTGGCATTAGCCCATCCTCCCATGTTGTCCTGTATGTCGTAGCATTTCGCATGGCAAAAGTGATTGAACCAATCTTGTCGTAGATACGACACCCTCGGAGTGTTCTCTTCCCCTCGTGCTCTGTTCATGTTCCGTGCATTTGGACACAATAGGTCGAGCATCCTTGATGGAGGTTTGCACAACTGGGAGGCGCATGGCTGTCCTGTTGAGTCTGGCAAGGCCCAGAAACATCCCAAGTCGTCCTACCCTGCCCCTCGGCTTGACGACGACGTTATTAAGAGTAGGCAGCAAATACACACTTCCCCGTAGCTTACTTAACGCATGAGCGAACAGGTTATGAGCAAATTATGAACAACGCAGGTCGTGACCCGTCTAAGGATTCAGCCGCCGAGCTAGTCCTAGATGCCCGTTCTCAGGGACGGTACGTTTGGTATAAATTAGCATAAAGATCACGTCGCTGAACTTACCTTTCATAGCTGGTCGGGCAAAGATCCCGAGCCTCGCCCTGGCCTTTCGTCTGGACACATTCCATACTCCACCTCTCTTCCGTTCACCACGTTCCTGATGAAGAGAACATACACGCCTGCGGGCGCGGGGAGTCCAATTACCTACACCGAGCTAGCCTCTCCCAGCGCACTTCACAGCACCCTTGAAGAAACTCTCGGCAAGGAGGTGGCCGATGAGGTTAGGTCCGGCAAGCGCAGGGTCGTCACGTCCTGTGGCAGCGGCATGACCGCTGGTGTTATCTGGCTCGGCCTGAAACAGATGGGTGTGGAGAAAGTGAGCCTATACGACGAGGCGAGTGCTTGTTTCGAAGTCCGTCCCTTGGAAGCTATTGACATTGATGCACGCACAGTCTTGGACTGGGTACGCCGCTAGAGAGGGCAGCAAGATTGAGAAGAGCACCTGAGCTCCCCATACACGACATCCTACGTATATGGACTTGGACTTGGCAAATGTACTCGTATATCTGCTTCTCGCGATCTATCAGATTGGAAGCATTGCTTGCTGAAATTGAATGCCGTTGCACATCACCTTGCACACGCCGCACTGATAGAGAAACAACGGTGAGCACCTCACCACACGCCTCACGATCGCTCATGGATTGTCTACACAACTAAAAGTCCCAGTGATATGATAAAGACTGACTATAGTACACGATGGACCAGCAGTAACTTCGAGTCAAGTTCTCTCAGGGGGTACACAATGTCACGACATGCTCGACGTCCGACTCCACGCGCGGAACACACGCCGCCGTTGCGGCTCTTGGTAATGCACGATTTGATGCTCATAGTTGTCCAACATGCCGATGAACGGGGGTTGGGAAAGGCAGGTGACTTTGCCCATTCCCAGTGCGCGAGCTGGCCGCCCGCTATACACGACCTCGACTCTGTGTCGGCTGCCCTGTCGCATTAGGGTGCAACGCCATCTGGCCTCGAACGTCAGAGGGATTCAAACAGATCATAACGACGTGCGCGTACCCTTCTGAGAGAAGAATGTTGCACTTTAGCCGGACAGCGTCCCGGTAGAGTTGGCACCTCGCGACTTGCACGGCCTTCCTCAGGTCTTCGACTGTTTGCAGGTCGTAGACGAATCTGTACGAGATGTTGGTGGGGTGGGTATAGGCGATCTCGAGATCTTCAATTCGGCCGCGTCAGCACTGGGCAAGAACAAGCTGCCTGATGTACTAGCCTTCGTCTTCGTCCCACATGGGGATCGGGGAGATGTCTCGGCAGTCGACTACCTCCCATGCCGCTTCACGTCTTCTGAGGTGCTTGCTGAATAGCATGTCGAGAGGTACACGATACGATGGGCAGAGCGAAAGAGAGAGGATGCTCGATGTGGGTGTGAAGCCCGTGTATGAGGGTTAGAGTTCGCAGTCGGGGCGCTGTCTTAAACTCAGCGGACGGCTGCGATCACAGAGCCAATCTAGCTTTACCGCGCAGAAAGGGAGGGCTGACGGGTGAGACAACGGCGCAGGGGTCGTAAATTGACAAAGGACTAGTTTCCGCACCTTATAACGCGTTTGAGCCGCGCGCCCCTAGCTGACGCAAGCGAAATATATCGATGCCCGCTCGACACGTCCACGTACTACCGTCGCAGCAACGGAACCAAGGAACGGATGTGACGAGCTTGCGCGCGGGGCTTCGCGCGTTAGAGACACTTTTGAAAGGCGCAACAACAATAAACTTGGCGATCCTTGGCAGACTGCTACGTCGAATACTGGTCAGCTCAGCTTTCATGACACACGTTGTGCAAGTACGAGGGCTGAAACACCAGGAGGGGTCACTGCCGTGATGGGGCGTGGCGAAACGGTAAGGCGGTGACCACCGGTACCGCTGGAGGCAGACCTGCCACCGGTTCATGTCGTTTCCTGGTCGTCATGATATCTCGATGTGGAAAATGACGCATAGCGTACTCGGCCT